TGTGTGTGTGTAACTGGGGATTGAACTCAGGCCCTTGCACTTGCCAGGGAAGCGCTTATCCACTAAGCCATCTCCCCAGCCCTACTTGGCTACTTTTGTTTCCTGCCTCTGCTTTATTCTTTAATAGTCTGGAACTATTTTTTCTTTTAATATTAAAGAATTACATATTTATTTTGGTACAGGGTCTCGCTATGCAGCTCAGACTCATAGTGATCCTCCTGCCTCAGTCACCCAGTGCTGGGATTACAAGTGTGCACTGCCACACGTGGTTTCAGGGCTGGCATGGCACACCTGGGGTTCTGGGGCCAGCACAGCAATGTGCTATAGGGGTAAGAACCCAGGTCCTTATGCTTGCCAAGCAGGCACTTAGACTGCCAAGGTATCTCCCCAGCCAGTCTGGAACTTTTTAATTCTTCTAGAAAAGCACTCTTAAATTTATTTATATTTGTACTGCTGGGGATTAAACTCAGGGTCTTGTGCATACTAGGCTATGTTTTTACCACTGAGCTGTAGCCCTAAACTCACTCACATTTTTAACATGGGCTTGAACTTTTATTTTCCACTATCGAGGTTAGAAAGTATGCTTTTTGTCCTGAGGGGGTGGTGTGTAGAGCCATAGATCCCTGGCACAAACTTTCCCCACAGATTCACAGTGTGTAATTCTGATCCTCTGGGGGCCAATTCATGTTTCAGCCTGTTTGATTGGTGAGGGAAAGTATTTCAGTGGTTCTTAAAGCCTCTGTACCACTGAGCTCGCTCTTACCTTTAGTCTCTGGACAATTTCCCTTATGTCTTCCACAGAACCCTCTGCAGCCTGCACAAAGATATGGTCCCCTCGGCCATAAAAGATTTTCAGGGTCGAGGAGTCTGGGGTCCAGCCAATGACATCCCCACAGTAGCAGTTGAATACCACCTCCTTAGTGCGTAGGTCCAGGAGCACCACAAACTCATTGGAAATTCCCAAAATACAGTCGATTTCCACCCCCTGTGTGTAGTCCTGAGCAGCCACCCGCCAGGCGATGGCCCCCGCACTGTGTTGTTCTGCGCCTGCCCGGGCCTTTGTTTTCTCCTTCTTCTTGGAGGTCAGCGAGATGAGGTTGAATTTGCCAGTGGAGTCAATGGGGGTGTTGGAGACACAGTTTTCAGCCAGGTCCTTGAGGTACTCCTGGCGGGTCCTGGTGGCCATGGTGTGGAACTTGTCAGACTTGTGTGCAGCATTCTCAGCGTTAATCACCTTGGCCAGCAAGAAGTCTCTGAAGACATCAGATTTGCGGAATGTAGTCCCACTGGGGATGGGGGGGCCAAAAGGAGGAGCATCTTTGGATCGGGTCACAGCCATGCTAAAGAGGGAAAAATTATTTAGAGGTGAAAAAAAGTATCAAGCCTCTCTTTAGAGAAAAATACATGTTCAAAAGTAGAGGTGTTCCTCTTCCCATGCTGGGGACTGAACATAGGGTCTTGTGCAAGTTGGCAAGTGCTCTGTCACTGGGCCACACCCATGAGTTTCCTTTCTGTGAATAGAGGCCCTGGGTAGAAGCCTCCTAGAGACACATAGAGTGGGGAAGAGACAGAGGTTGGCTTTTGCCTGTAAGACTTTGGGGTGGTAAGGGCCGGGGAGATG